CCAGAATAATGTCAAATCTGCCTTGGAAGATGTACAGCCAGAATGCTCCTTAGAAGTGAGGATGGCAAGACTTTGTCTCACGTACTTTGAGCATAGTGTCATGAGGGACCAGTCCCTGGAGAAGGACATCATGCTTGACAAAGTAGAGGGACAGTGAAAAAGAGGAAGACCCTCAATGAGATGGATTGATACAATGGCTGCAACAATGGACTCAAACCTATCAATGCTTTTGAAGATGGTGCAGGACTGGGTACTGTTTATTGTATGTGGGGTCACTGTGAGTTGGAACCAGGTGAACAGAACCTAAGCACAACAACCACAGCATGGATTTGTCTCCAGTAACAACTGTGCCCTTTGCCATGATACCAGAACTAGGTGGTGCCTGGCTACCATTACATCATTGTCAAAGATGCTGTAGAAGAATCCTGATCAGAAAGGGTAAAATGCAGAACAGAATTTCAAATTCTCATGGGCTCTAGATTTTCTGGAGCTGTGAAGGTTGGATGAACCCTTGAAACTATTGCCCTGAGATAATCTTTTAGCTTTGAACCAAAAATATACTCTAAAGGGTTCTTAAAACCAAGCAATAGTTTAGCTTAGCTAGTAAAATATGTCGCCCTTGAGCAATCTTGATCTTTTAAGAACTATCTATATGGGATCAAATTGACAACAGTAACTTGAAAAATTAGATAGGAACCAGTGAATTTTTCTTAATGGGGAGGAACCAACTCAGAAAAAGAGGGTGAGAATGTTTGTACAACTGAAATAATGTAATCTATGTTACTAAATGATATGTGTGGAAATTGGTGAATTGGGTGTATGTTTTGCTGTGTGTATTTTCAACAACAATAAAAAAATCAAATTAAGAAGGAAAAAAAAAGTGATATACCATTGTTTGTATAGTATTCTCTTTGTTAGAAGCAAGTCTGTAAATCCAGCCTAACTAAAGGAGAAGGGAGTTAATCTTCACCTCTTGAAGAGAAGAGATTCACAAAGAATATGTGGATATACTTTTTAAACCATCACAGGAACCTCTTTAATCTCCAAGAGGTGGCATTACACAGTGATTAAGAGCATAAATTTGATATTTTTACCCATCTAGATTTAATCCTTGCTCTCATGTCACTATTTGTGCAATTTTTGGCAAATATCTTAACTTTTCTGGGTCTCAGATTCCTTATCTGTAAAATAGGTGTAAGAAGTAGCAGATGTTTCATGGCTTTGCTGCGAGACTTACATAAGACCAGTCATGTAAAGTGACTGGCACAAATTAAGTAGTCAATACATATTATTTAATTGCTGCTGTAAAGGGATATTACTATTGTCATCTTTCACAAGAGGCAGTATAGCATACTGGTAAAGACCACAGGTTCTGGAGTAAGACTGCCTGAATTGGTTCCCTGGTTCTGCCAGTCAGTACCTGTGGGAACGAGGGCAAGTCACTTAATATCTCTTGGCCCTGGCTTTCTGTAAAATGGGATGATAATAACTAGTGCCTGACCACCTAATAGGTGTTCAGTAAATATTTTATGAATGAGCAAATAGTAGATGATGGAGGATATAATGATAAAAGTGTACATAATGTATGTGTGCACGTTTGACTCCAAGCACCTTCTGCTTAACTACGGAGCCCTGAACAGCTGCCCCATTCCATTTGAGCGTGCTCTTATGCTCTCATGCATGTTAACCACCAAGAACTACACGGTATTACTCTCCTTCCTGGGCTGTTGTTTTTGGTCTCATTGTTTGGCTTCTCTCCCACCTTGGTTTTGTTCAAACATACTTTTTTCATCGTCCCTGCTGCCTCCACCAAGAATTTATTTAATTGGTTTTGCACACAAGCTAAAGATTCAGTGACACGAAAGGGGGGGCACTCCCATGTCACACCACCTCAGAACTGCTACATTACCTTAAATTTATTTTGCAAATGAAAGCTAAAAGCTAAGCAAAGACGACCCATCCATTTTGCCTAAAGATGATTATAATGCTCTTTTACGGCCTCCTAAATGACAAAGCAATTTGTTACCTGCCTGCATCAACATTTGCTTATATTAGCACCCGAGATGGTTGATTTTTATTAGCCCCATGTTATCATTTTATGAAGACACAGGAGCTCAGTAAAATTAGTGTGCAAATAGAATGCCCCTTTTGCATTTCCCTGTGGTCAGCAGAAATGCTGAATGCAATTGAGTTGATACTGGGTCAGGGCAGGCATTCATAAAGGCAGCCTTCATCAAGGGCCTCAGTAATGCCATTTATCATTTCTGCTGAGATAGATGGGGTCCACGTTATGCAGTGTTTTTTTTTTTTTTTTTTAATTTAAGTGAAAAGCAATATAAATACCAACACAGTAGCTCAGTTTCTACCCATCAATAAAGGATGAAATTGAACTCTCCTATGTATATTGTAGATGGAAGTGCAGTAGATGTAGGATCTTATATTGGTAGATCCAGGAGGAAACATACCAGGTAATGAAAGGGACACTGGGCTGGGAGCCAGAACCTCACTCTACCACTGCTAGCTGCATGATCTTGGGCATGTCCTTTCCTTCTCTGAGCCTCAGTTCCCTCATATGTAAAATAGGATTAATATTACCCACCTCACAGAGATATGATGAAGAGTAAATGAATTAATTTGTGTTTCAATTTATTTGTAAACCACAATTCACACAAGTATTTTTTATTTATGCACTCACCTGTCAGTCTTTGAGTACCTACTCCATGCCAGGCTCCATTAAAAGACACTAGAGATACATTCATGAAAGGCACAGTTTCTCCCTGGAGGATCTTATGTTCAGTCCAGGAAATGCCCAAGTGTCTAACTCCTCTTTTAGACAATAAAATTTTCAGAGTGGTGAGCCTTCTCTCCCTCTCCCTCTTCCTTAAAGCTTCCTGGCATATAGCTAGCTGAGCACACAGTGGGTTCTCTTGAATGTATTTTGGCCCCCTTGTCATAACAACAAAACATATTTCTTGTGGCTTTTAAGGGACTTAAAAGCACTGAGGGGAAGCAGTTACCCCACCCTACTGGTCACCCTAATAGACCAAGCAAGTCCCAAGCTTTAGAAGAAACAGCTTTAATAGAGTTAATATTTTTCAGTTTAATGTCTGTCATTGGTGTCTCAACTGTCAGGATCATGAACCACACTCAAAATGACCTGTTTCCAGCATTTTGGAAACAGAAAGGCTGTTAATTATAGAATTCCTACACTCTTACCCCCACCCCCTTCCAGATCATTCTCTAACACAAATAGAATCCTTTAATCCTGTTTTTCTCAATTGTCCTTCCTGAATTATCTCCAGATTACTGTCCTGTTCTGTGTCAATCAGTCCTTCTTCTGCCCATGGCTAAGCACCATCTCCCAGCCCATGCCTTCTTTCTGGAAAAGTTACTCTTGGCTACTGCTTTTGTCTAATAATATCTTTGCACAATACTAAACTGTCTTATGCAAGTAGACTTCTGTAGAGGCAACAAGAACTTTGGTTCTGATTTGGGGTCACATTTCCTACTTTTTCCAATGTCTAGTAATTTTTTATTGGATGCTGGATATTATGAATAAATTATATATTGTTGAGTGTCTAGACTTTGTTTTCTTCCTTTAAAGAATGTCAAAATTTGTCTACCAGGTAATTAATTTTCTTTCATTCAGTTCAATCCTTTTGAGACTTAATCTAAAGCTTTGCAAGAGTTGATCTAGAGTCATTTATTACTATCAGTAAGGTGTGGCTTTTCTGAGGTCTTCACTGACTTCCACTCTGGTGGTGGGAACTCAAATGCTCCCTGGTCACTTTTTCTTGACATAATGAAGGTTCACCCTATGCATTCACATGTTAGTGGCCCAAGACGACTTCTTTGCAGATTTCTGAACCTCTTTTTCTAGAGAACTCCCTCTTCTGGAACTATGCTTCACAATTTCCAACTGCCTCAGGTTCCCTGAACTTGAATCTCAATGAGACTACCTCTGCTTAGGATGTCCCTCTTTGCCCTGTGATCTGGAATGGACTTCCAGGCAGAAAGCCTGAGCATGCATAGGACATGTCTCAATTTCTCCCCTTCTGTGAGAAATTACAGTCCTGTACTGCCTCTTATCTAATGTCTAAAAACAGTTGTTATGCATATTTTGTCCAATTTTTTTAGTTATTTAAGGTGAAAGAAAAATCATGTTTCTATTAACTTCATCACAACCAGATAAGGACTTGAGTTCTAATCTCAGCTCTACCATCTATTAGCTGTGAGACCGAGAACAAATCATATAACCTCTCTAAGTCAATTTCTGATTCTATTTAAGAAGTATTAACAATGCAGGTTGTTGTGAGGATTATAGATAATGTATATTATGTACCTGACACAAAAGGAGATAATTAAATGGCAGCTTCTATTACTATTATTAATATAAATAGCTACCTTCTTTATCATTAACTCAATGCTTACCATGTAATATGCAATGTGTCAGCTTGCTTAATGTCTAGCAGGCAGTGAAGTTTCTTTCATTCAGTTTGATCCTTTTGAGACTTCATTTAAAGCTTTGCAAGAGTGTATCTAGAGTAGTTTATGACCATCACTAAGGCATGGCTCTTTTGGGGTCTCTACTGATTTGGGGTCTCTACTCTGGTGGTAGGAACTCAATGATAATGTTGTGATGACAACAACCTTATGAACTAAATTTTGTGATTCTCATTTATAGATGAGACCACTGAATTCAGAAAGGATACACAATTTGCCCAAGGTCACAATCAGGGTACCTGAGATTTTATTTCACTCATAGGACTTCCTCATTTAATTTGTAATATTAATATGGTCATTTGCATCAAGGAAAGATAATATGGTCCTTTTAATATTGGGTATACAAGGACATAAATAAATTATGCAGAAACAGCTGGTTCTGATATAATGATTTAAAAAGTAACAGATATAAAGCATCCAGACCAGTCCCCATCCCCCACCTATAGTTTCCACTATCTTTGCCCTCCTTAGAAATGTTCTTTCATTTTATCTTATAGACAACCTTCGGGAAGGGGCTGAGCAGAAGGTGGTATTCATCACGGGGCGAGTCCACCCAGGTGAAACACCTTCTTCGTTTGTGTGCCAAGGTGAGTTGCAAGGTCTCATGTGTATCCTGTGCCTACCCCCTTACTAAAGGGGCAAGGAGGCCACATCTTCTGACCTCCTCTAACCCCACATGAGGAAGACAGAATCACCATCAATAGCCCAAGGCCTATTCCTGCAAGGCCAGACATACTGCCTCCCTCCAGCCCTTTCACCAACCGTTCCTCCCAAAGCACCCACCACCTCTCTCCTGGGTTCGATAATTCACTGCAGTGGCCACACAGAACTCACAGATTACAGGGTTTATTAGGGAAGCACCAGGCTACAATTCAAGTTCAGGAAAAATGCTCAGTCTCTCTCCCAGCCCACAGTCTCTCTCCTACCAGTCTCTCACAGTCTCTCCCAACAGTGACTGTCCCGCTGTGTCTTGCTCAGCAATGCGTGTCTCTTGCATCTCTTTCCCAGCAGTGCATGTCTCTTTCAGGAGCACGTGTCTCTTTTAGCAGCACGTCTTCCTCAACCAACAATCAAAGAGAGACTTCTTCTGCCTCTAGGAGGCCTCCTTTGAGCCTGGTAGAGTGGCCAAACTAACCAATCATAACATCAGAATTCTAAGCACTTGAGAGAGAGCAGGAACCTCCCAGAACATTGCTTTGCATTGTGCCCAACAGAAATACCCCGGGTGGATAGCTTTTACAATCAGGAGCTCCTCAGTTGCTCACAGCAAATTCTACCACAGAGTTTACCAAGATTTATGACTAGAAAAACTACATTAAATAGTTTACCACACTGCACCCCTATATCCAAGTAGGGCACTTTGGTGGTTTCTAGGACAGCTTGGTCACATACAGCATCATTATCTTGATGGAAATTTACTTCACTTCTTTAAAGAGGACACTCTTGTTCTCTATTAGGTATAATTTAAGTAAATGTTTATTGAATAAATATAGGTATAGATGAAAGAATGGATGGATAAATGAATAAGCTGGGATGAATAAAATTCCCTAGTATATATTACATTACAGAGGAGCCATACAGTATCATCTATACTCCCAAGCTCTGTTTACTTGTCTCTGGCAGTTTACATCAGGAAATCTGGCCCTAGCCCAATATGGATGTTGGTAGAAAAGCCATAAGATAGGTGGGTAAGGGCTGAAAATTATCCTTTCACTCATTTATTCAATAATTTGCTCAACCAAAAATGGAAATGACCTGCTATGAGTTGGGAGGCATGCTTAGCATCAACCAAAAGTAAATGACACTTAATTTTTATACTCAAGTATGAGGTAGTGGTGTTGGTGAAAAATATGGAACATGCTATACACTGCCAGAAGAACAGACAAATCTTTCTTGGAAGAAGTACAACCAGAATACGGAGTTCTGGCAAGATGGCAGAATAGGCAGACAAGCTACACAGACCCTTTGCAAGGCAGCAATAAGAAGCCAATTGAAATTGATACAAAAAATGATCCTGGAACCCTGAGCTTTGAATGCAAGGATAAAGAAGTGGATTAAATACCAACTAGTAGAAGAACCTGAATGAAAACAGGGAGTAAGGAGACAAATAGAGTTGTGGACTGTGGTAATCCCAAGGGCACAACCATTTTGAATATTTCCTGGTAGCTACCTAAGAATTGGCTCTGTTCACTAAGGACTGCATGAGCAAAGACTTTATTGGTGCCCGACAACCAAAAAGGAAAACAATGAAGAAGGAGATAAACAGGCTGTGGACTGACAGTGGCTGTCCTGAGGGTGCAGCCATTTTGAATATTTGCAAGTGGCAGGTGGGACTATTTTGAATAGATGCCAGTGGCATTCTTACCTGGATGGTGACATAGGAGTGGGCTCCGCTTGCCAAGGACAGCATGGGCAGATGCACTGGAAGCTGATGACTAGAAAGGTATGATAAGCCCCTTGTTACTCTCATGCCCCATACACTCTTGGTGAACACAGGAGTGGCTATCCCCCACCTCCACCCACCTTTTTGACCATTAGGAATTCCATCCTAGTCTGTGACCTGAGAGAGCCTGGTGCCATGCCCATCTCCCAGTTTTGTTTTTGTTTGTTTATAATTTATTCTTTTTCTCTTCCTCCTGTCTTCATGTTTTTTTCTCTTTCCCATCCCTGCTTCTTGTTCTTTTTTTT